CCCCAAACAAATCTGGATATCAGTCTGTCCCAATTTCTAAATGGACCTTGGGGGCCCTCTACTGGTGAAGATTGGAATAGATAGAGAAATCTAGGTAGAACATTTAGTTTAACAATTTGAATTCTTGAGTTTAGGTCGAGTGGTAAGGTAGACCACCTTGTTATATCTGTTTGTATTTCTTGGTTTGAATTGTCGTAATTCGCTCTTTACAAATCAGAGATGTTTTACATGTACATTTTACATTTATATTTAATTTAATATTCCATTCCTTACACACTTAATGGATATAATATCCTGCTTTATATTTGGTAAATTGGTATTTCAAAATGTGTATTTTCTTCTTTTTTAATGCTGTTTTATTTCTGTTTTGAGATGTTTACATTTTAGAAGTGTTTATTTCTACTCTTTTCATTTCTCTCATGTCCCTTGTCTTTTATGCTGCTGCAACGCAATCATTTCCCAGATTGGGATCAATAAAGTGCATCTCATCGTATGCATTGGAAGCTATCTGTTAGCCGCGCATGCTAACCGGCTTCAGATAAACTCGTTGACACTGTATTGTTATTATTATTATTATTATTATTATTATACATCTAACTTTTTTATCTTCATATTCATATTTTTATTTTATTTATCTTATTTAATTATTTTTTTTATAAATGTATTCTATGTCACAAAACCAATTCTTCCCTCAGGATAAGTATTGTAATGATGTCTGCATGTATCCTCTCTCTGATAGAGATCAGCCGTTCTCTTGTATGGAATGTTCCAGCTTGTATCGCCCCCATGTGTTGCTGTAGCTCCGCCCCTTGATGGCACTGTTTGTTTCTTCCCCTGGATCTCTATAAAGTTTATTAAAAACTACAACCCCCATGATGCATTAGCTGTTATCCTTGCTAACAGAGACACACTTGTTGAGACTGTAAAGAGTCAGAGCTAACGGAGACCCTGAAACACAACTTCCGGTGCTGGCCTTCACAATAAAACCAACGGTTTTCTCTGGCCCTGACACACCAGGCAGTCACCAGAGAACTCGCCGACACCCGACACCGACAGTTCCATCGACGAGTTCTCCTGCGTCTTGGCCGTGTGTCGCACTGGAAATCACCGCAAAGACTTCAGCCGAGCACGTACGAACTGCGCATGCGTGAGTGGCAATAACTCTCCTTACCAGCAGGCGGCGGTAGTGTGTATTCGTCATTCAAAAGAGGCAACAACCGGAAGACAGAGAAGAAGAACAGACTGATATAAACAAACAAATAGCGTGTGCGTTCCATTTTCACTCTCGTCCATCGAAAACATGTTTTAGAATATAAAAATACATGAATGATGAAATGAGCACATAAAGTGCAGACATACTATAAAATCACAGTTAATAGACCTGCATCTGATGATCGCAGTGTTGTGGCGGGTGTGTAGTTTATTGAGTCAGCAATGTAGTAATGGCCACTTCTTGCTAAATTTACGATGAGATGAAAAACCGGACTTGACCAAACAAATCACGGAGCTCTCAGCAGAGGACAGCCGGGGACGCTCCCGCCGATATCAGAGATGTCCCTGCTATGTGTGGGAGGTAAGAGAGGACATTTAAGGGCTATGTTTGATGTCTTTAAGTATCACCAGCTGGTGTTTAGCTGCTGCTTAAATCGTTTGTTTACGTCCCTCACTTCCGTTTCGCTTCTCATTTGCTAGCTGAACAGCTGATCAGAGTGGTTTCTTGGCCCGATAGCTTGTGTCCGACACCCGGCCGATTCAACATGTTGAATCGGCCGGGTGTCGACCGTGAAAGGCCAAATAAGGCGTGTCACGGCCGAGGGTTCGGGACACACCAAATTGACTTTGGGCGACAAGGAACCCGTTTTCGCCCAACAACGCAAGACGGCCGATATCGGCCTGGTGTGTAGGGGCCTAATGGCGCGTTTCCACTACAGCGCGCAGCCCGGTGTAAGAGGGCTGTGACGTCAGCGGCCCGTTTGTGGTTGCGTTTCCACTTGGCCTAGTACCGGCCGGCTGGTCCTAATTCTCAGTTTTTCTGGCCTCATAAAATCGTGGGGCCAGGGCCAAAGACAACCGGGCTGTGTTTGTGACGTCAACGCTCTCGGCTGCTGATTGGTCGGAGAGAATCGTCACAATCTGCGCGCGAGATAATCCATTTTTACAAACAGCATTTTTGTTAACGGAGGAGCTACAACAATGGCAAAGAAAAGCACACCATGGTCGGTCGAGGAAGTGACGACGTCCATTATATTGCAGATGATAAGGTCCAGCGGGAGCTCGACGGGACAACTCGCAATATCAAAGTCTTTCAGGAGGTCTCTACACAGACACTGGACTCTCCAACGGCGTTACTGGAGTCTGCATGGTACGTTTTTGCTAACGCTGTGTTATTTGCTTGAAAGCTTTGTGTCCCTGCTTTGTGTCCCTGCTTTGTGTCCCCATCTGTTTTAAAGCTCACTTCTAACAAATAAGTCTATTTTATCCTTACATTTATGTTCGACAACCCCGATGGAGCCCCGAAGGCTAGCTAGGCAGATAGCATTAGCGAGAGCTATTGTTTGCTAACACCATATGTGCCATTGTTTACGTTCAGTTTGTCTTTTCTATAGTTGTTGTTGCTATTTATAGTATTGTGCTGCAGTAGTTTGTGGAATTTACAAGTCATGTTTCTGTTCTAGATGATTACATTGGGACTAGCGAGGAGGAACAGTTCCGAACAACGTCCTCTGCATCAACAGCACAAACCGAGGAGGAGACGATCTGGCCCTGCAGGAACGGCAACTGGCCCAGCAGAATCAATGCCATGTCTTATCTTATTGCTTGTTGATAAATAATTGCACCCACCAGCGATCGCACAGAAAGATGGCATCATCTAGGCGTCCCTCTGCAGTCAGAAATATCATAAACACCATCGTCCACAAAGCACTGTACAGGGGTTTATGGATTTAAGAGAATACTTATCACAGTGAAACCTTTATCATCTGTTGCAATTAAAGCAAATAAGAGAATAAATACTTGGTTAAATAATACATTTTAACTCTTTAGCAGGACAACTCTGCATACTGTTTGAAATTGAGTTTGCTAGCTTGAGGTCCTCCTCTAAAACATAACATTACATAATGGTATTAAGAATACATGATAAATACATGTAGAAAAATTACTCAATTGTAATACCCTCGTTGTGCTAGACTCAAACACATTGCTTATATATTTCAAAGAGAAGAGAACAAAAGAAAACACCTATACAAAGAGAGCGGTGCACAGCGCTTAATATTTACTTGCACTATATTTCTGTTGATCTGGGTTATTGTGTTGCACTGTTGGAGGAGCCTGTGACCTAAGATGTTCATTGTCATAACTACACTAGCTATGTTCGTATGACAAAATAAAAAACCTTGAACCTTGAGGCTGTGTCTTTCAGACAAACCATCATAATCATATTATTTTATGCTGTGGATACTTTAGCCTCCATCCATGTTAACAATTTTTTACACTTGCATTTATGAATATAGTTCTGTTGTGTTTTACACTTTTGTATTTATGTTTATAGTTTGCTTTGATATTTGCTTAATTTATTAGATTATTATTATGGGGGCAGTACTGGTGCTTGAAATTCAAATATTTACTAAATAGTCAATTCTGATAACATTTTTTTGGTTTAAATAATTTGACAAACACATGTATGTGAAAAAGAAAAGATGTATTTATGTTCAATACAATACAATGAATATTTAGGTATTACACGTAGGTTTTCCTCAGGCATCCTGAAGTTCTCCACCCACTGAGTGTGTGAAAGATGGAACAATCACATTCCACCACTCGGTAGCTCGGTCGGTAACTTCTGAAATACACAAACAAAAGCATACATATTTTAATACGTAAAAGTGGTAGCTACAATTAATTAAATACTTGAAATACTTTGGTCGTATAGGGAGAGTGAGCCTAAACACATTGCTAGTTAGCGAACGTTAGCTTACCAAGTAGCATTGTAGTTAGTAGTGATTCGAGTCGTCCTGTAGTCTCTGCGGCGTAGGAGGACTGCCCGAACTCTCGCGTCAGCTTCTTCTATACCTCGTCTTGCTATAAGTCGCCTCTTTCGAAACAACTCTTGTCTATTTCTTGTGATAATAAACCACACAGCAAAAAACAAGCAAACGATCGCTTTCACATCTCCATTGTTGTGTCGCATTGAAGATGACGTCACGGCAGTTTTAAGCAGCGTCGCTCCGCCTACACTGTGTTACTATAGATACTGACCCGGTTCCTAAACTGTAATGGAAACGCGCCACAAAGTGAGCTGGTCCTAACGAGGCCGGGCGCGGCCAAAGGAGGCCGAGCGGGGCCGAGCGAGGCTGTGTAGTGGAAACGCGGCATAAGATAACATAAGATGAGATAAGAAGTACTTTATTCATCCCAATTAGGGGAATGTTTGCGTGGCAGCATAAAAAGACAAGACATTGTACATTAGAGAAATGAAAAGACTAGAAATAAACAATCCAACATGTAAATAATACATGCACTTGTTTTGCTGGATAAACATGTCCTCAAAATATAAATAAAGTTGTATGAAAAGAGGATTACAAATATTATTTTAAATATCAAATAGTTGGCGAGCCCCCCCCTCAAATGGCCTTTTCCCTGTGTCCTTTCTTCTTGGTGACCAACTTCCATGTGAAACAACATCATTTTATTTGTTATTTTATTTATTGACTGACTTCATTGCTTTATTTCTATTTGTATAAATATTTAGAGAGATTAAAACAATATATATCCTCCTCTGCTGCCACCTTCAGGATAGCTAGAGTAACATCAGCTCTACTGAACAGCCTCTACCTAAGAAGGTCTGATACAAACACTCTAATTCATGAATGTGATGCATCTATCTATCTATCTATCTATCTTATAATAGCAGGGTCATGCAGAGTGGGGTCGCCTATCCCTTTAAGAGAGAGAGGGAGGTGTGGCGCGTGCATGTGGCGCGTGCATGTCTAGAGCGAGAGTGAGCGAGCGTAGTGTGTGTCCGGAAGAGAGCGGGAGTAGCAGCAGTGATCAGTCTGTCTCCAGTTAGCTGAATAACAAAGTCCTGAGGAAACACAGCGGCCTCCCAAGGAACAGCCTGCCTGTCTGCCTGATTTCAGAGTGGGTTATTGAAGCCGAAGCCTGGTGCTTCAGTCCGGGAAGACTGCAGAGAGTCCTCCCCTGTATTCCTCCACTACGGTCTGGGAGCAGCATCTATCTCCACTGTTGCTGTACCCATGTTAATGTCCCTCTGTGGGACCAATAAAGGACTTCTGATTCTGCGGACAGACAGAAGAGAGGGGGGAGGGGCGGGGTGAAATGCGGCCTTCTTCTTTTCCCGAAGAGTCCTCTTCCTCGTAGCCCACCGTATCCCAGGATGCAATGCGCGCCAGTGACGAGGAAACAAAGAAAATGTCGGTCCGGTCTCAGAGAGAAAGCAGCACGTGAGGAGTAACTGATAAACGTGAGTATCGGGTTTAACTTACTTCAATAACGGATAAATGTAAGTATTGGGTTTAACTTACTTTAATAACTGATTGTAAGTATTGGGTGTTTTGTTCTCGTACTGTATGTACAATCAATACTCCAGACTACGACGTGCTATATTCAACGTTTATTGTTATACCGGAGACGTAGACATTCATGTCTGGTAGGAAGGTGAACTATGAGGTGTGATTAGTGCCAAAGACTGAACTAACTGAGCAGCCAATCGTGTTGATATTCGCCTACCATGCCGCGAACTATGCCGCGAGAGAAGTAACGTGACACTCGTCGCCACCCCTCTCGTCTGAGAAGCTACGTGACGTCTGCGTCTGAAGTTACTTTACTTAGTTATCACCAAATAACCCAGTAATGTTACAGCTACCTAGTTGCTGTTCAAGCTAGACTCTATATTTCAATATAGTTTTGGTATTAAAATAATGTTACACCTCTTGTATGCCCTGAACGCCAAAACAACCACAGACAACAATATATATTTTTAATTATCAAAATGATAACAAAGGCTGAAAAAACAGGAGAAGCCTGTCTTGCCTTGGTCTCCAGGAGAAAACACCACTGCATATCACCACGTTTTCATAGTGTTGTGTGTGAAATAGATCGCTGCAGTGAACACGACTTTATTTATTTGTTTATGGTTTATTTGATATGGAGCGATGCAGTATAGAGTGGCGAAGTCCCTCCCCTTCCGGTGGACCTCCATGGGACCTTATTTCGGAAAAATTATGTATTGAAGTCAATGGAGAGAGAAAGATTATCTTTCGATCCCGTGTGAATTGTGCCACGAATTACACATATGATGTTTGTCAATTTAAAAGATAATTTTGCAAGTTAGAAAAAAAAGTGTCGTAAAACTGCGAAGTAACACATTTGTTTGTGTGAAACGCTCAATGAACTACATCTCTGGTCTTGCAGACTCGCATAACAACACACGTCACCAAGATGGCCGTCACTACTGTCTTGTCAACAAAACGATTGACTACCCTCACTATCACCACAATGAAACACGTCCAGAAGAATGTCATGCAAAGCTGCCTGCCTGCCTTCCTTTGATTCTCTCTGAACTGCCTGGTCGTTTTAATGTTTAATGTCAACCATTTGTGCAGATAGCATGAAGTGCAAAAGATCGCAGATGCTAGCGTTATCATTTCTCCCCCGGTCTTAAAGTGTGTATTATAGAATGACCACACCGGTGACAGTACTCTTCAAAGGGTTCACGAAATATGACTGCTACTCTTACTGTTTAACATTTTGGGTTACTTAATGTTACTTCATGTTAAGGCTAATAAAAATGACATGGCTGTAATGCTAACTAACATGCTAGCTACTAGCTAGGTAGCTAACTTGATCCAGACACTCCTGGGTTGCATTCGAATAGTCCATTTAGCTTAGGAACCTTCCTAACGGAGTGAAATGACCCGGAAGTCCCTCAGTGGCAGCCATGATAAGTGCCGTTCGAATTCTCTAAATTAAAAGGAAAGGAGGTTTGAAACTTCCTTTATAACCTCCTTTAGCTTAGGAACCACTGGACCTCCCTAACCTAAAGGAGAGGAGAAAATGCTGCCCCACAATGCCTTGCGTCCGCAGCATTTGCCGTCACACAACAGTCGGCCGTTCACGGAAACAACCGATTATGAACGAGAAATGATATCATGAAAGTTACGGTGCTTATTAAGCATTTTAAAACGTATGTGGTAAGTTGCCAAAGTGCTTTGTTTTGAACGTTCATCAGTATTATAATCAAAAAGAGAAATATGAACGTTAGTTTTTACTGAAATGATCAAATAAAGTCAACATTTCACAGTCTTTACTGAGCTGTGTGGGGTTTGTTCAACTTTTAAAAGATGTTTGAATGGTGATATACACAGTGATAGATGTTAAGGACTAACGTTTATAATAAATATATTTGTATTGATTTGAAGATCTTTTCATACAATCATACGTATTGGGATCATTTGTATTAATGTGGACCGGAGGGAGAGGGTGACGAGCATAAGTTTCACTTTCCTTTTTTATTTCAACTTTGGTCATGAAGAATATGTTTCTCTGTTGTCCCCGTTCATAAAGCACAACAGCATCAGAGCACGGTGCAGAGTCTCTAGATGAGTTTACAGTAGTCCCTCGTTCTTATTAAACATCCATGTTGTAGTCCGCTGAATAGAAAACTGTAGTTTCCATAGTTTCCCCACAGCAGCAGACGCACATTTATGACCTCCGCTGGCGCATCATAAACACGTCGGATAGTGAAAGTGCAGTCGATTTCTCTAAAGTACCGCAGTCTCTTCTCCTAAGTCCTTTTGAATTCTCCTATCCACTATCCCTTCACCCTGTGACGTTTCACTCCGAGGTCAAGGAATAGACGATAGGGTTAGAACTTAGGAGCTGTTTTTTTGGAGTATTCGAACGCAACCCTGGTCCTTTCATCAGACGGGAAGCGAAAGAACGAGCAAGACCCATTGCTGGTATGATAACAACCTGGTACTAAGCACACAGGCATCTTGTTAAAGTTACCTTATCTTAGCCAGCGCCATATAGATAGATTATATCTATATGGCGCTGATCTTAGCTATCTCTTAGTGGAGGAAAACAATTGTGACATCACTTACGCGACTCTGGGATTTGTAGTCTTTCTAGTTGTGTATTTTTCATAGTCTTATATTTCAACAGTTTTACGACAAACTGTGACTTTTTTGACATGGAAATTATTTTTTAAGATTGACAAACATCATATGTGTAATTCATGGCACAATTCAAACGGGATCGAAAGATAAGTTTTCTCTCTCCATTGACTTCAATGCATTATTTTTCCGAAATAAGGTCCCAAGGAAGTAGATGGGCGTGACTTCGCCTCTCTATACATAGAAGTTCAGAGAAGAAGCAACCCCTATATATTGTTTATTTCATTTCATTTTGGCACCATGGCAGAGGCAAATATAGAGTTAATGCGGAGATTATAATGTCCCGTTTACATTACATTTCATTTAGCTCACGCTTTATCCAAAGCGACTTACAATTACCAATTACAGGGACATTCTCCCTGGAGTAACTGAGGGCTAAGTGCCTTACTCAAGGGCACACTAGTGGTGGTGTTCCTGGCGGGATTTGAACTCACAACCTTCCGATCTTCAGCCCACCTCACTATCCATTAGACCACCACTATCCACTTAATACTTAAATATGTATTGTTTTATGATGTTTAGTTGACAAAATAGTCACTGTGCTACATTTTGCTGCACTCAAGCATACGTCTGAAGACAAGAGTTGTTTCCCCCCTTTGGCCACAAGAATGAGCATATCTTTAAGTGAGTGCTTCTGTCAGGAGGAAACAAAGGTTTGCCAACACATTACTCTACTGCTGAGAAAGGCTGTACAAAGACGTGAAACGATGTGCTGCAATGTCTGTGTATTGTTGAAGAATGCCAAGTAAAGGAAGAAAGTAATAAACTCATCTTGGTACATTACTTTATTTCATTATTTCCCCCCTTCATTTGAGAAACACTATCCAATGATGTATTATTTCTGTGTTACACACCATTACTGAATTAATTCTAAAACCAAGAATAAGCTACATACAACAATAGGCTCAAGGACGGACAAAACAAGGACACCACACACGATTCTTTCCAATTACAGTATATTTATTTAAAGAGAGTAACTCAATTGTGATATCAGTTTAATCCGTAATGTGTGTAGTGTACGGGTGTGTGATGTGTCAGCAGGGCCGGACTGGGACCATAGGTCAGGCCGGGAATTATACACCCAGCCAGGCACTACCAGTTTTTTGGGGGGCATTTTGCTGGATGTATACCCGTAGTGATAGCCCTACAGTTTAAATCTACTACCCAAATAGAAGCATATGGACATAGGATATTGTTAAAAAAAAAGTGTGCATATGTATTGGGGAGCCTATCCATGTGAACATGTATGAATAACGAAATTGAAACCCGAATAGTAGGCCAACGACCGAATATTCGGATATTCGGGTACAGCCCTAGAGTCCGGGGACATGCTCCCCCGGGAAGATTTGTTTTTTTATTTTGGAGTTAAATGCATCAATCTGGTGCACTTTGGCTACTGATATCAGCTCTGCTTGCTCTCAGGAAATATGCATCTGCACTATCTCGATGCTCTTCCATTCTTTGGTGAACATGCTTCCATGCCTGCATGCCTCCTTTAACAAAAGCATTGTCACTGGCAGGCCTGGCAAACATGAGACACAGCTAGCAATATAGAGAGTGCGATGATTCACAGTAAGTTAACCATTTTCTATTTGTTCCATCCTTGCTGTGGAATACTTTGGGAATGGCTTTCTTGGAAGTTTGTTGTGGGTGGTTGGCTGAGGGCGAGCAAAATAATCAAAAGGCCTCTGTGTCAACTTCCTGTGCGTCTCTTTCGCTGTCTTTCTCCTCAGTTGCAATTTCCCTTGCGCTGGACCCTGAATCTTGACTTGTCTTTTCAACCTTCTCAGCATCTGCTGGTACTGAATAAGAACCAGCATACGGATTAAACTCTGATCAATAACTATATAGTAACTTATTGAGAACATGAACATAGCTTGCTTATACTGTTGTCATTACATTTCCTTTGGTTTTGTTCAGTGTTTTCATAGACATAGCCTATTGAAACAGTTTCCTCTGTACCTGCCAGTTCTGTCCACTGAGCTCTGCCTGCATCTCTCCCTCAGGGCCATCACCATCAGCATCATCTGATAGTGGAACTGAATAAGGAGAACATGTAATCATTACATTAACAACTATTTATGAAATAACATTATTCTAGAACATATATTATGCAACACTTATTTTATCACTTAGTTGACCCTGTATTTGCCTGGCCTAATACCATCATTATTGTCTCCCCTTTGTTGCACAGACAACATAACCATCTCAAGTTATTCCCTCACAGTATGAGGGGTGTGTAGCCCCACAGTTAGCTGCAGTCTAACGGTTAGATTACATATATTTG